ATGGAATAAGATTATACATACAAATGTTTTATTTGTTATTATAATGTAAAAAAGAGAACATATTACAATGTTTATAACGTAATGTAAAAAAAGGGACATATTACAATGTTTATAAATGTGTAAAACGCTAAAAGTAGGCACCGATATAGCACACTGCACTGTTTAGACTAGAAGTGAGAATATGCACCACAATGAACTTGCAAAGTTAATATTTCGTTAATTTGCACGAATCTGAAGCTGTGCATGTGCATACCTGTCACCTGAGGTATCGGGCATATTAACGTAATGGGGATAAGCCATGACAAATTTCTTTGTGCAAATGTCAGCAATTCGAAAATTTTCGCGGTGCCAATTCGCACTCATGTATACCATTTGAAAGTTAAAGAATAATTTTACAGAGGAAAAAAACATATATGGATATATATGGACATATTTTGCATATAATTATATATAATTATATATTTTTATATATGTTTTTATATGAAAAATTTTTTTCCGGAATAGAAATACTCTAAAAATATATTTGGGACATATATGATATCTTTGATTAGGATATCCCTATGATGTGTTATGATGTCGAACTTTTGAAACATTTCTGATGTAAGGGAATTAGTTTCTTGATGCCAGATCAAATCGAATTGAGTCGAAATTTATTTCTTTGAATTCAAATCGAATATCGAATCAAATCGAATTAAATTGAATTGATTTATTCAACAATATAATTATTGTTTAAGGTTGAATTTTTATATATAGAAATAATAAAAAGATTTTTATCCTTTCCTTTCTAAAAAAAAAGATATCGATACTATGATATCGATACTCGCATCTATCGAAATTTGAAGCCTCTTTTCCGCGATTTTGATTGGTAATTCTGTCATTGCGTTTAATTTACGAGTAGCTGTCATTGCACATTTTGACAGTTGTGCGTATTAAAGTTGATGGAGTGTAAGTGGCCACCCTTTTTTATCTTGTAAACAAATAGAAACCTAATAAATATAATATCAAATTAAACGGCTCTGACTAAACTTTATTGTAAGCACAATGATCACTTAGAAATATTATCTATGTTAGAGACCGAAAAAACATGATTAATTTTTGCACGGTAACGTGACAATTTTAATATAATAAAAGTTGTAGCGTTTCTTTTAACGAATACAACGATGTATGATATAACGAAATTATTTTACGAATTATAAGAGTTATTTTGGTTTAAAATTTTGCGGGCAGTTACTATCTTTTCAATTTCGGCCCTGTGTACGAAAAAGATATTGATTATATTGTATATTGTACATAATTTTACAAGATTATCATTATATGTATCCTAATTTCTTAGATTCGAAATTTTCAAATAATTCACATTTAAATCACAAAGATTTATTACGTAGATCAGATCGTCAAATTAAATATTGTATGTTACATATCGTGCGAGACTGGAATTCACGAATCAGTATCGATTGTATCGAATCGATAGAAAAGACTTCTTTCGCATTAGAGTAGTAACTTCCGTTTCGGCACTCGATTCACTCCGGTTGGTCCGCGTTTCCGCCGCGAGCGTGTCTCTTTTCGCCTGCGACACGGAATCATGGCGGTGGGCAAGAATAAGGGTCTTTCGAAAGGAGGAAAGAAGGGCGTGAAGAAGAAGATGTGAGTAGGGCTTATTGCGTTTCGGTTGTAGCCGGTTGTCTCACGTTCGCGTGAAGTTTCTCGCTGGGTCGCCGTTTCGCGCGATGCCTTTGGTTATGTCGGATCCTCGCGTACCGACGCGTGCGACGTGTGCAATACAACGTGCCGTATCGCGGTTAACGCTGCACACTGCCGCGTTATTTTCTTCAAACACGGTACAATAAACGTGATTACCGTGATCGCGTTCTGTGTATCGCCAAGTATTGTCACGTGCATTAAAAAAATTAGTTGCTCCAAAGTTGACTGATGTGCGAGATTTGCGATCACGCTGATCCTAACCTAACTTAATCAACTTTGTGTGTAAATCGGGGTGGAGATTGAAAAAAGAATTATTTAGAAGTGTTGTATGTTTTAATTTTGGAGTATATAGTTGTTCAATTGTTCGGTTTTAATCAGGTTCTAGTACTTTTTGTTTGCTTAAACAATCCAGATTGTTTATCTCTGATAAAAATCTTGAAATTCTTAGACGTGAATTTTGAAATATCCTAAGATTTCTTTGTAATATTGGAAGGAAACCAATAAAATCTAAAGAAGTTTAAGGGTATTTTCTTAAAAATCTTAATAAATTTAAAATAGGAAACATTTGTAAAATATGAAATATGAGAGTTTTTTCATTACAAAGGACAACAATCCCTATCATCTATATTACATATAGTTGAGGCACTATATATATATTTTATACCTTTAAGATAGTTTAAAGATACTCTAACCTATCTATGTAACATCCTTTTTATAAAAAACTTGTGTATTAATTATATTTACCTTGATGTATCTGTGCATATCTGAAAACATTTACATAAACATTTTAGTATTTTATTGTATTTATAATGAGAAAAATAGCAATGATTAGAAGAGGAAAACGGTTATTTAGAAGAGAATTCTGAGTTACTTGAAAATTAATAGAAAATTGAGAGATTATGTAAAGTTAACAAATAGATGTATATATATTGGAAGATTTTATTGTGTAGAAAATATATAAAGTTTAAAAAAGATAAAGTAATAGTTTCTATAATATTATATTATATTTTATGTATGTGCATACTTTCTCACATTAGCGTTACTATTTCAGTGTGGATCCCTTTACTCGTAAGGACTGGTACGATGTCAAAGCACCATCTATGTTTGCCAACCGGCAGGTTGGAAAAACCTTGGTCAATAGGACTCAAGGAACAAGTAAGATTCCTTTTCATTATCAGCTTCCTAATCAAAACTATCTTTTTGTTACGTAAATTATTTGTTGAGTGTAGCCTACTTCATGCTTTTAATTAGTTTTCTTAATTCGCTTGTATACATGTTTACTATTTTAGCTGATTTTTATGCCAAATTCATTATTTTATAATAAAAAGGGCAACACACACAAAATATGAAATTAAACTATAACAAATAAGAATATTTATTGGTCAGTGTACTTTATGTTTTTTTACTATTATTAAACGTAGTTATAACCTTACAAATATAATTGTGATATATACATATTAATTATGTATGCAATAACAATGATTAGCCATAAATTGAAAGTTCGGCATTAGTCAACGATAATCGTCGATCAGCTTCTGACGTGGTAATATTTATTACAAGATATTTATTTCATTCCACAGAGATCGCTTCCGAGGGTTTGAAGTTCAGAGTTTTCGAAGTATCTCTCGCTGATTTGCAAAGCGATCAGGATGCAGAGAGGTCTTTCCGAAAATTTAGACTAATTGCCGAAGATGTCCAAGGCCGTAACGTATTAACTAATTTCCACGGGATGGACTTGACAACGGATAAGCTGCGATCGATGGTGAAGAAGTGGCAAACCTTGATTGAGGCCAACGTCGACGTCAAGACCACGGACGGCTATCTGCTTCGAGTTTTCTGCATTGGTTTCACAAATAAAGATCAGCTGAGCACGAGGAAGACGTGTTACGCCCAGCACGCGCAGGTTTGTAATTCCAATGAACTTGTGTTGCACGCGTTATACGCAAATCCGTTATCCATTTTGACTCTCAATAGTTGAATGGCAAGAGATATTGCGATATATTAATGCTGTCGCTTACCACACTACTTTCATTTTTAAGTAAGTAGTGAAATAGAAACATGCTACACAATATTAGATATGTCGTATAGATTAAGTTACTTAACTACAGACATTTTACAAAATGTCTTCGTTCACAGGATGTTCTTTTTTACTTTCTAAGATATATTGTACATAGCTCTATTTAAAATAAAATGACAAATTTTAAAGCCTTGTGTCGATACTAGAAATCGATCCAAGTTCTCGGATCGAAAACTGTGTAGCCAATAAAATTACTAATTTTCCGTAAAAACTGCAAGTTAATTGGCTACACAGTTTTCGATTCGAGAACTTGGACCGACTTCTAGTATTGTAGACACAAGGCTTAAGGCAATGCTGGCGCGGTAGCCGAACTGCATAATATCACTGTTTTACCGACGTTTTGTATGAATGCGTGTGATATTGATATAGTGTGTAGTGTGTAGATGTGTTATGTTTACTACCACAATATCACATACACATTGTAACAAATTTTCGTGTACATATTTCTCGAAAATTAAGTATCTAAGTATAATTAAGTATTGTGTAAATCTAACTATACAAACTTCATATTATTTCTTCATGTAATCTATTAGTCTAGCTACCGTAATTTCGTAAGTACGAGTTACAGAGCTTTTATATCAAGCATACCTCGATTTGACATGTTCTTTAGAAAAAATAGTAAAAAAGAATTTTTTTGTTGTTGACATAAATCCCAAGCATCAGGTCAGTATTAATGAGTATATTTTAATTCTAAAAAAAAAAAAAGGATTTCTAAGTCTGTTGAAAAATAGATAATACTAGTAGTATAAATCTCGACACAAAAATTATTGCGTTTCGTCGGTAAAACAGACGACTCCAGTAGTCCTTTTTAAGCTGTAAATTTTAAGCTCATGAATTAATTGCGTTTTAACGATACTATTTATGTAATATTAATTTTTTTTATTTATTTAGTTTTGCTAGGTATCTTCTATTATATTTTTTTTCTCATAAATCATATGGCTCAATTTAGGTTAAGAAGATCAGGCAGAAGATGGTTGAAACTATTACGGAAGACGTTACCAAGACCGATTTAAAAGGCGTGGTTAGCAAACTGCTTCCGGATGCCACGGCTAAGGACATCGAGAAAGCCTCGCAGGGTATTTATCCTCTGCACGACGTTTACATTCGTAAGGTGAGTAACAATGTAGATACAATTTTAAAAGTGAAATGAATATGACTATTTCTCAAGTTCGTGTTAGGTTATACATTTATGATTACGAATTGAAGATTAAAATTTGATCATTCAGATTATTTAAATTTTTAATCTGTTTATTATAAAATTATTATGTATATTATAAAATTTGACCATTCAGATTATTTTAATTTCTAATCTGTATATCATTGTAATCCGTTTTATTTGTATTTTTTGAATTCTAATTCTAATCTCGCAATCCCCACTCTCTAATGGTTCGACAAGAGCTTTACGAACGTTAATAATGCTAATAAAATGCCAGTAAATAATAGGATGTAATTTTATTAGGTGAAAGTGTTGAAGAAGCCGCGCTTCGAGCTCAGCAAATTGCTGGAGCTGCATGGAGACGGAGGTGGTAACAAGAGCGAGGAGGCCGGCGAGACTGGTTCGAAAATAGACAGACCGGAGGGTTACGAACCACCAGTACAAGAATCCGTTTGAAGATGAGTGTTTTAAAATCTTTCATAAAAATAAAAACCAAGATGATTGTGTAAATAACACCTTTATTCACATTTTTTACCCGTATCTAGTGCGCACCGCGGTGTGTGCACCGCGAAAGGTACTATATATACTTAATCCCCATCGCGTCCTTGAGATATTAAATGGTAGAGCGATCGAAAAAAAAAATAATTTGTAAAAAAAACGATCGAATTAGATAAGCTTTGCGTGATTGAGAACAATCCCTAATTTGATTACGTTACAATATGTCCATCAATCCTTTTGTAACATACGTCACACCGGTCGTGAGCAACGTTCTAAAACTTTCACTCCAGGATGCTAACAGATATATGATGAACACGAAGAAAAGTATCTTTGTCAATACATCCACCCAATACATACTGCGACAGAGAGAGAGAAAAAAACATTAGATCGGTGCGTGTCGGAAAAAATCACAGACACCTATATAATACACTAGAGTACTAGACCGTTAACTACGTCCCTTTAAGGGAGGACTCTATAAGACTAAAAAAAACTGATTTTTAAGAATTCTTTTTTAAAATGAAAGTAAATAATTTCAAAAGTTTAAATATTTTACTGTATATTTGAGCAATGAAAAAAGAATTTTTTATTAATAAATAACATTTTTTTAAAATAAATAATAGAATTTGATAACGTCGCGCCGTTCGAGTTGTTCGATTGTGTACAATCTAGGAGGCGTAATTTTTGTCTAAAACAAAAAAACCCAATTTTTTCTTAATTTTTATAAAATTATCTTCTATATAAACTAACAAAACATTTCAATTATTGAGTAAGTTATGACAATTAAAAAAATTTTTTTAATGAAAAAATTTGAATCTTTTTTGCAAAAAAAGAAAATTGTTTAATTTAATTTTTTTGTAATATTGTTAGTTTATATAGAAGATAATTTTATAAAAATTAAGAAAAAATTTTGTTATTTCATTTTAAACGAAAATTACGTCTCTTAGATTGTACACAACTCCAGCGACGCGACGTTATAAAGACATTCTATTATTTATTAAAAAATCATATTAATAAAAAAAATGTTTCCACTGCTCAAATATACAATAAAACAAGTATACAGTTAAACTTCTGAAATTATTCAATTTTATTTTAGTTGAAAAAAAATTCTTAAAGATCACTTTTTTTTTTAATCGTGTAGAGTCCCCCCTTAACTGTGGCTAAAAAAGTATACGCAGAATAGGGACCCGTACTTTACAATGTTTTGGCATTTTTTAATAAATTGTAAAATATACACGTTCAAAAGTAGTGCATGCAGGTGAAAGTTAGACATTAGCTGGTTACATAACTTTATTGGCATCTCTTTCCTATTTGGTGGTCCTTATTTTGCGCATCCATCAAATCCATCTTCGCGCAGGCCACAATTTACATAAGGAAAAAATTAGGAATTTAGGCAGTCTAGGGTATATAGATGTCTGTGGAAAAAATGCATTTTTTTCCACGGGCGATTTCGAACTTACACTCTCAAATGTCGACGAGCGGCGGGCAGTGTTTCTGGAAGTTCTTTTAAGATATAAACTCTGGCGGCTCGAATGCAATCCGAGAAGTACGCATCTATATCCATATCCTCGCCGTGCAATTGATAGTTTTTGTACTCTGTACTGTTAATCTTTTCCCTTAGGTCATTGACGTACGTGTTTTCAAAGTCCCATTGATTATTGGCATAATATTCAAACATTTCAAATCCTTTGTTTATACGGCGTTGTATATGGCACATGCTGTGATACAAACAAATATGAACACAAGTAAATGTAAATGCTTTTATATACAGTAGAACTCCGTTTATCCAAACATGCCTAACGACAAGACGATTCGAATAATCGAATAAGTCTTCGGATATAGGCTCACTTGGTAGTTTCGATAATAGGAGCTGACGTTCAAAAAAGCTGAAGTCAAGCACGTCGAACTCCTATTGTCCCGAATAATTTGGGTAATAAGAACTCGAACTATGAATTCATATACAGGGTGTTCCGAAATTCGCGAATCAAAATATCATAGCAGCAAGGTTTTTGAAAAATTAAAAGTTATTTGTAAATGTTTATTTTAAGCAGTAGTTTTTAAGATATAAAAGTTGTAAATTTAGCCAATTATAAATTACGGTTAAACCACGGAAACATGTCCGTGAGCGCGTCGATGATATTAATGGTCGCGCACTTCAGGCGCATGCTAATCTATAATTGGCTAAATTTTATGTATTGTATCTCAAAAACTATACTGCTTAAAATAAAAATTTACATATAACTTTTTTTCCTTAATTTCTCGAAAACTTTCTTGCTGTAATATTTTGACTTGCGAATTTCGGGACACCCTGTATATTTGGATATATTAAACATAACTCGCTCGTGTAAATGGAGTGCAGCGGATGAACGAGAGTTCAGTACTGATTCGAGGTCTCGCGGGACCGACTTACATCGGTTTATACCCAGCCAGAAAGAGGAGCGCATCGATAATATAGGCCGGAATCATGTGGAAGAGCAATAGACAGATGTTGTGCATAAGTCGGGAGTTCTTCAAACTGCCACCTGGATACCAGACGACTCCGTTCAGAGGTATCTCTTCCGTTATCTTTCGGCCGCGTTCTATTATTTCCCGCCAGGTGATCTGCGAACAAGGACAAAAATCGAGTTTCGATATATTGTCAAAGAAAGCACGCGTCTAGGCGTCCATTTATTTTTCCATCCACCTTGAACTCGGTACTACTCGTCATATTAAAAACACGTTGGTGGTTCTTGAAGTATAAAAAGTCCCATGTGGCGAGGAGAAGACCGTTGGCGGCGATGTCGACGGGCAGATAATCGGCGTAGCCGTTCTCGTTACAGAACATCGTTCTGATCACTCCCTTCCCGGCGCCGATCAAGAGACCGGTGGGCCCGTTGATGTTGTCCGTCCAACCGGGCAGCGGCTCCTTCCAGATAGGAATAATTACGCTTGGCCTAAGAAAACGACGAAATTGTAATAAATGAAGATAATATACTTAACGTTCGTGATGTGCGGTATCTACGAACTTGCGACGAGATCCCCCCTTTCATCGGTTTTACCTTATAATTACTGCCGGGATATGCAGCATAGCTTCTTCGACGAGATTCTCCGATAAGGCTTTCGTGAAAGCGTAAGTGTTAGGTAATTGGCCCAAGATCTTGTCCGTCATCGCCTCGACTACATCATCGTCCATCCATTCGACGCATTTGATCACTTGATGAGGATCCGCGGGCGGGGGATACGTTCTCTCGCGCAAAATCTATCGAAGCCGGTTCTATTTAGTTTTTTTTTCCTAAGTATCCCGACATGTAAATATTCCAGAAACCACTCACCTTTTCTTGAAGATGACAGTAGGCCGTGCTGATATGAACGAACAGAAGTAACTGCTTCATTTCTTTGGCCAGCTCTAACATGAGCTTCGTGCCACGTGTATTTAACAGTACCGCTTTCTTCAATAGTTCATCGAATCTGCAAGAGGATTATGATCGAGCAAATAAAAACTCATTATTCGAGAGAATCGTTTAAGAATTACGTATCGTTGAAGCAATACTGTCCTGGTAAAAATTTCTTGTTAGAATCCACGTATATGTATATATAATATATACATATATGTGTGAAATCTGAAGTATTCTAAAATTTCTCATTCTATAATTTTCAAAGAAAATTTATAAAATTTAGAAGTTTTTTTTAGAAATCTTTATAAATTTAAAATGTGAATTTTTTTAACGTGATGAATTCTTCAAATAATTTTTCAGAATTTCTATAAATATATAGAATATATTCACAAATTTCTTATAAAATAAATGTTATAATATTTTGAAAAATTTTTTATTTTTTTAAATAAAAAAATTGGAATACTTTTCCGAAAGCTAAGAAAATCTTCATCTTTTCTAAAATTCTTTATATACATATGTGAATTTTTTTGACATTTTTCTTTCCAAAAAAAACTTATAAAATTTGAAAAAATTGTAGGTATATTTTTTAGAAATATTCACAAAATTTAAGATATAAAAAATTGATAAAAGTATTGTGAAAATTTTTTTTCACCAAGATGATCTAAATAATGAGATTTTTCGAGAGTTTTTTTTTGTATAGTTCTACAAAAGATAATTTATGTTAGTCGTAAGATTTATGAGCAATAATATTATAATTATATAAAGTAAAAAAATAATAAGACTTATACTTTCAATATAAGAATTATTGAGAATAATAAGATTATTCTCAATAATTCTCTCAAGAACAAATCTGGAAACATGTTTACTATAAATTTTATCGACCAAGTAGAGAATACTAACGGAAATACAGAATCTGCCAACAGAATGAGATGGCAGATTGACCGCAAAAATTATCTGTCAGGATCTATCGTTTCGTAACCATTTAATATGACATATTCTATTTAAAATGATTACGAAATGATTCTGCTCGATTTCTTCTGTCAGATTATGTCTGCTGGCGGAACAGGAGTTTAATGCGAACCAATCTGGCGCAATATTTGAATCCTGTTAGCAAACTGCTAAACACTTTCCTTATTGAATATTTTTACAGTTTTTTCGTTAAAAAATGCTACTTTATATATATTTATAAAAATATCAACTCTCTTCTCTCTAAATTTTTTGGAGTGAAATTTCACTCTAAAGAGTGAAAATACTGCCACTCAAGTGGCCGAGTGACAGTATTTTCGCTCTTTTGGAGTGAGATTTCACTCTTTTGGAGTGAGATTCACTCTAGAAAATTTAGAGAGTTGCAAATGTCTTGCTAAAGATATCTCACAACGTCCGATTAGATACTTTTTTCTCGTTACAATACGGAATACCTGACGGTAGCCGCTCCGTGATACACGATGTTAATGTTTTCGACAAGCATCTTTTTGTCTTCCGGCGATAATCCAAGCCCTGGCGACGCCACATCCCCGTTAACGGCCGTTACCATTTTTTCAAGCGTCGGCAATCCCCTTTGAGTTTTGACTTTCTCGAACAGCTGTAATTTTAATTTTAAGCGAATTTACCCGCCAGTTATGCGAGGGTCATGCATAATCATACGCAGTAAGAACAAGGTAAGAGCGAGATAATTGAAGTCCGACAAAGAGATTACAAAAAAATCTTGGCGAATATAAGTCACGAAGACTCATTGTTATGTCACTAGTATATCACTATGTACATAGATATATCATTGGATATATCATTAGATATGTTATTAGAATACAACTGTTGCCGGCACGGATTTGTAAACAAGTCGTTCCTTGAATGTTTTTTTTTTATTTTTTGCAAGCAATTAAGATGATTAATTTATAACAAGAATTTTTTTTGTAATCGCAACGCGATAAATATATAAAAACAGAAGAAATCAATTTTTACGTAACATATCAATTAGACGATTATCGTACGTGTGGCATATGCACACGTGACGTTTTTAATACCCTTTTTACAGTATAATCGATACATATATATATATATATATATATATATATATATATATATCAATTATTACGAGAAAGAGACAATATTATTTGAAAAACGATATGTAATTTCATGTAAATAGTAAATCTAATTCCTTTTCCAAAGTGCACATTAAATTATTTTTTTTGTTAAAAATTAATTGATTTATCTAATCAATTTGTGCATAAAGATATCAGAATAAAGTGGTCGATAAATGAAAATTTTGGGAAGTATTTTATAGCAAAAAGTTTTATGCAAAAAAAACTAAGTTAGTTATATAAGTTAATTATTTTTTAATTATTTATATAAGATGCAATTTTGGGAATTTATATAAGTTAATTATTTTCTAATTATTTATATAAGATAATTTTGGGAAGGATTTTATAGCAAAAAGCTTTATGGCAAAAAAATAACTAAGTTAATTATTTTTTAATTATTTATGTAAGATGCAACTTTTTATATCAGAATAAAGCATGAAATATCCTATAAAATACCAATTTTTTTTAAACTATTCTCATTCTATTTCGATTCTAATAATTCTAATTTCATATTTTTATATGTAGAGCAACAGACCCACAGAGGAATCAAATAACGTAAGAAGAGTATAACACATATTATACATGCGTATTATGTATTTCTTGTTATTCTTATTCTTGAACTTTGAACATACGCATTATGCGTCATTTAAACGCTGCTTTTTTACTAGCGGTTAATGCACTAGCGCGGTAGTTGCTAATAAAAACGTATCATGTATTTTAAAATGTTAGTAAGCTTTGTCTGCTAGCGTGCTAGTGAAGTTAAAATATTTCATTTTTATAAGTTAACAAGCTGCTAGTATTGTACTATCCGCTAGCTTTCTTCCAAAAGCGCCGTGGATGGCAACTAGCTTGTAATTACATAGCTGCTTTCACAAGTGGAAAGATATTCGAGATATCAAATTTTATATTTTTTTACATTTCCGGGTATCTTCTTTCTCGTATAGCGTCCCGCATATATATATTTCTTTTTTTGCATGAAAGACTTAACGAGCAACAAAAATTCTTCAAATTTATCCATCGTTCATACGCATTATATTTTTATACGCTGCAGCATTGCCAGAAGCAAGCTCTTTTAACAAAATGACTGAAGCACTTAATGTCTCTCTGTTAGAAATCTATTTTTTCAACTATGCTAGCTTTTTTAACACAACAAATAATGGGCCAAAGACGAGCAAATAAAATTAATGGATTTTCGATAATTTATTCATTCAAGCAATGTATCGCGATACTAGTTTCAGCCTGACTAGGCCTTTTTCAATCGCATAAACACAATCAATAAATTAACACATATTATGAAATATGACGCACACCGTGAATAATTATAAAATAAGGCTGTCGATTACAACATATTATAATGTTTTAATAAAAAAGATTGAAAGAGGCTGAAAGACGATTGAAAACTTTACATTTAAGCTAGTTTTACTAGCATTATGTGTACGGAATTATATTTTTGTAGCTGCTAGTTTTTCTAGCGTACTATAGAACACTAGCGTGCTAGTAAAAAAGCGACGTAAATCCGGCCGCTTTACATTTTGAAGAAATCCTATTATATATTAATTAGCGTAACTGCTTGCATCATATAATGTGCATATGTATAAGGTGTTTTATAATCAACTAGTTACAGTTACATAGCACTATTTCTTTATGAAAAACTTAATATAGAGTCGAAAAAGTTTGAATTTTTATTTTTTTTTCTCTAACGCTTAACGAAAGAGGTATTATTAGTTAAAAATCTATCCTCAATTATAATGTCGCTCATTAATAGATGTATGCCTTTGATATCTGCGGCTCATATATAAATCATGACGAACGTACTCGTAGTTAAATACAGTAGAACCTCTTTATAATCCACCTCATTATAGTTACAACTCACAACCTCTAAACAGTCGATCTATAGATAAGCACATTTCAAGCCCACGTGACCATAATCTCTTGTACATATATATTTCTATATAAATATTTAAATTCTAGATTTACATCCTGAAGTAGAGATAAAAAAAAGAAACAAGTTTACTTTGGAGTTAAAAAAAACTGAGTTTTTATGATAAAAGAATTTGTTTATTCCAAAGATAAACAATTGTTTTTTTTTTCATCTCTACTTCAGGATGTAAATCTAGAATTTAAAGATTTATATAGAAATATAGAAAAGACTTTTTTTATGTGATAAAGAAGTCTTTTCTAAAAAAAAAAGATAGAATTTTCTTGATATTTACGTCATTTCGGTATTATTTAATACTTTTTGTCATTATAACTTTAAATATCGAGGCGAAAACACATGAACAAACTGAATTTACGTGAGAGCTAAAGTCCTGTTTTCTACCGACAATTATCTAACAAGTCCATGGCCATCGCCACTTGGTATACATACATTTTGATTGTTTACAGCTATCTTTACACAGAAATCTTTTGTGTAGATGCAAAACTGAATTCTAGAACAATAATGTGGTGTCAAATATTTAAAGAAAATACCGAAAATATTTTTAAACAGATTTTTACTGGATTTTGTGCTCAGTGTCAATATTTTTTCGGTAATTTTTATCTCTATCTTGAGGCGTGATATATAATTAAAAATGATCCTATTACGTTAATAATGTGTTTGTGAAGTGTTTTATATCGCTAAGAATATAATAATCACGTGTAGCAAACGGATAGTAATTCTATACACTTTGCGAAATTGAAAGTTAGACTATCTCTTACTATCAATTTACCACGTAATTGTTTCGCGCGATTCTGTCGAGTGGATGAGTTTCGAACAAAACGCGCGATGTGGAGTGCCGCCATTAGTTGAATTTCCAAATCAATAAAGTCGCAGTTTGTCATGTTTACTTTGCTGTTCGTACAACTGAGAATCCTATTAAAGATTTTTATAATAAACCGTTTCTCCCGGATGTATATAATCCAGGGAGAAATTCGTCTATGTACTCTATGTCTATAGACATTGAATTTCAGCGGATTAGAATTGGTCGTTAAAATATGGTAATTTTTCCGCTTCCCAGGGAGAAATAATAATTGGTTTGTAGACGTCGATTCGATATCTATAGACAGTCATTTCTCTCCGGGAAGCGGAAAAAATACCGTGTTCTAACGACGTTTCTGATGGGTTATACACATATCTGTTCCACCTGGGAGAAACGGCTTATTACAAAATTCGATGACTATATAGACGTCGAATCGACGCGCTATAAACCAATCGTTTTTCCGTAATTGGGAAGCGGAAAAAAATACCATATTCTAACGACGTTCTAATTTTATATATAGGAATACAGGAATTTCATCGGGCATGCAAGCGCGCGCGTGCGCGCGCGTTATAAGGCAGCGTGTTTACGGTATTGCGTTAAAATTCGAAAGACGTGACATAACACGCCGCGAAACGCCGCGCAATCCGTACTTTCACCGTGGCCGCCGCGGCAGGGGAGGGCGCGCTCGCGCGATACCGATAATCACCATCTCTTCTCTCGCTGTATTTTTCGAGCCGGGGCCTTGACTCGGTTTCTTTCGTCACATAGATGGCTCGCGGTTGCAATCCGGGTTGATGCGGTCCGGTTTACTACACTTTCACCGACGAATTTTATTTGAGAAATATCTACCGCTTGCGCTTGCGCGCGCGCGCACACCAGACACAGCGCGAGAGGAGGAAACCTCTCCGCGCGTTTGCCGAGCCGCGCGAGGCCCTCTCAACTGCACCTCGCGCCATCGTCGTCGTTGTCGAGCGCGCGTAAGGCAACAATGATGCAACCGCGAGTAACGCGCAATAGCAAAGTCATAGTCACGCACTTTCTCTTTTTGGTTGCCCTCCTCGCTCGACGACGCGCTCGCGGAGACCAAGGTGGAACGTGAAATTTTCTCTGGTGATCAGATAAAGTAGACTAGATCGCGCGCGACACGATTCGCGAGATCGTGCGCGCGCGCGCGCGCGCGCGCTAGCTGTATATCCGAACGTGTGTACCGAACCCTGCCTCCCCCGCACACAATTAGTGCGACGGAAATTCTTTTGTTGTGTAACTGCACACAGAAAAAGTCCAATGGTTTTGATTGGAAATAATCGTTTAAGTCCTTTTCCGATCATTTTTCGATCGGTAAACGGATCGGATACAAAATAATCATTTCCTTTATCCGACAAAATGTGATTTCGGATAAAATGTGAACGGAAAATGAGCCGCCATATGTTTATTCGGTAAAATTTCGTAGGCTATAAATGGACAACTAGATCGGATATTTTATCCGAGCAATTGTTGTGTCTGATCTAGTTATCGGTTTATCCTATGAAGTTTTCAAGTCAAATGTGATATCCGATCAGGAAAGCGCCTCCTTTTTTCACAATCAATGCTGTTACCAATCTTTTATTTGAATTCGAGGGAGGTGAGTGTGTTCTGTTTCGGCTCGAGTATTGCATCATTTTTTTGAACTCGACGATGAAATCTGTCTTATTCGTGCATTGTAAGCTTTGGCCAAGTTTATCTCTACTTGAAGGGACCAAGAGGCCATTACAGGAAAAAGAAGAAGAAAATGATCAATATATTTCCGATGAACTGTAGTGATTGGATTTTTAATCCGACCAAGTTGATTGTAAATATCGGTTTGTTACTTTTTAAAAGGATAATTCGATCTTTTTGAACGGAAAAAGCTAGGAAATTTTTCTCATCAGTGTGCAGACACAGTGCGCGCGCGCGGTGTATATATTTCGTGCACCACTTTTTACGCGTGCCTCGTGCCCCCTCCTGCTTCTGCTCTCCCCCGCCCTTAGAAAGTATAAAAGAGTTTCTTTTTCGAAAGCAAGAGCTTACCGGGGAATTGAATATTTCGTCCAGCCGGTGCTTGGGTTCCTTGCCCTTCTTCGGTCGGACGAGCATGTAGATGTGCGCCACGTCCGGCATGCATCGCAGAATTTTCTCGATTAGGACCTTCCCTAAAAATCCCGTGCCACCTGTCACCAGTATCTTGCGGCCGGCGAAAGTCTCGGCCACACGGTCCGGCACCGCCACGTCCTCCGTCTTGCTCTGCTCCATCGTGGCCGAAGCGGAAACGATTCCTCAAAAACCTTTCCTGCAAAACTGCGAAAAGGAAAAATGGCAAATTGAAAACCACCGCGCGGCACACTAATAATCGACGATATATATATATATATATATGTATATATGTATGTATATCATCGGACGAAATGGCACTCACTCCCTAGGAAATCCCACATGCGCGCGTTCAGATGATTATATTCGCTCTTTATATACATACGAAACGGAAAGCTATCTAGAGCGTATTGCGCGATTCATAATTATACGTATAGCGGCCGTCGTATATACGAACGACAGACGCATTCGTTCTGCCTTACAGGCTAATTAAGTATTGCGCGACCGCCTCAACACAATCAAGTTGGGAGAAATATCGTATAGTTATCGAAATTGGATCGTTTTCCATTTGTCGTGCGATTTTCGCAACTCGATGCAGGTAAGTATTCGCGTCGGGAATATTGAATATTTATAGCCCAGGGCGCAAACAATAGTTGACCTCCAGAGGTCAGAATCGTAGAACAATAATCGAAGAGGTCTTTTTCTTCCAAGACTAATGTTGAATACGTATATAGACTAATAATATACGTATGCGAAGCTTACTTCGCGTATACGCAAAGTTATAGTTATATATACTAGTTATACTTTGTTCGAATCGAACGCTTTTTTTTCTATTAAACCAGAAAAAATCGAATTGTCGATAAACTGAAAATAAGAATAGAGATAAGAAAATCGAGTGTACATTACTTTTAAGATTTTGATAGAAAAAAAACATTTGGTGTGATATATCAATCCGAAAAGTACACCTAATTTTTTTTACAATTGTAAAAAAGTTATCTATTTAATCTAAAATTTTCTTACTTTACGCATCTGGGATATATTTTTTTTTAATCAAAAGGGCTTGGAATTAGATATTTCTTAATATATTTATGATGTGACTGTTAGAAACAAATATCAAAAAATTCTTCAATCAAATAGATAATATAATTTTTCATAAAATTTTTTTTATCAATGTGGACGTCTATTAAAAAATATTAGTTGCATAAAGAATTATTGCTCAAATGCATGTACAATGTTAAAATGCCTTCAATTGAAAAAAATATACCATCCAAAAGGTTTATTTTTTTAATAAAAGAAATTAAGTCTTAAAAGGATGTTAAAGAACTTAAGTAAAGAATAGAATCTATTTAATTAAAGAAATTTAATTTAAGATGTAAGATCTCTAATTAAAGAAATAAGCTCGACAGATACTACGTATTTTTTAATTAATTGAAAACATCTGTTTTTTCAATTAAAAACAAAAGACTTCATTTTTATAACTCGTATAAAATTACCGATGGAAATCAGTGAAAAAATATTGATATTGCTGAAAAAATAAAATGATATCCCGATTACTTTCGAAATTGCACGATTTCATTCGAAAGAATACGAATTAAATTTACGATATATTTCCGAACTTTATTATTCAGGGATGCCTATCAGTGTGAAATGAGAACAGAGCATTATTGAATCGATCAGTCACGTTTCCTCGACAGTCAGAAGCTGAAACTGTTTGACTTCTTATAGCTTGCGCGCGTATCGTAAATACTGTATGTGTTATGAGCGATATACCGCGTGATGCATCACAATCGCGTAACTTTGTTCCGAGTATCGGCCGTGTTTCTTTTTGTGTCTTACGTAGGACGTAGCAGGAAACGCGAGTCGGGATAATGAACAGTGATTCTCGAACGTTATCTGGATGTAGTTGTACTCGTTTTACAAGATCACGATCGCGCCGATCTGAACGCGTCCGCGGATGTTAACACACTCGTTTTACAAGAGCACGATTGCGCAAATTTTTGACTTAACATAATAGGCATCGTATCGTAACGTGCACGCGTTTATTTCCACTCGCGTGAAAATCCCAACGCGAAAGCGCGCGCGCGTAATCTCATTTAGAAAGTACGTGAAAATTAATTCCCATAAAATCCCTCCTCGTATAAGGCCTGTACTAGTAGGCGACCGCGGTGGCGCGGTATCGCCGAAAAACGGCTATCGTTAACGGCGTCAATTAAACGGTGGTACATTAAAGCCATCCGTCGAGATCGAACGAAGTTCGAGGGAAGTGTCGCCTATCGGAGGAGAGACTCTCTCTCTCTCTCTCTCTCTCTCTCTCAGCTGCAAAAAGACACCCGACTTTGTTTCGCGAATTCGCAAACAAAACTGAGATGCGTGCACGTGCATGTCGCCGTCGAGTCACTTCTTACTGCTTCTTACCGTTTACGCCGGGTCAGCGGCAGTCGCAGTAATACGCGCGTCACACTCACCCGCGATCGGAGGGGCCGGAGACAGAGGGACGTTGCTGATGCGGGCGCTGAGACGTTTATACTCGGTATATATAATCGGATCGTAGGCCCGCGATTGTATGTCGATCGATCGTCGTGTCCGGCTGCCCGCTCCGGTTTGCACTCACCGCGAGAAGAAACGGTCGGCGAACGAATGCGACGTGAGCCCGCGGCTGGAACTGTTTCACCCGTGGTTCGAAGCTCGGCCCCGGATTCGGCCATGCTCGCGGTGTCGGGTGGTGTGAACCGGTCGTCGTGTATACGTAGACCGGGAAAGTAACACGCCGATCCGCGACTTGATGCCTTCGCGTTTATTTTCATAGCGAATCGCACTTACACACACACACACAAAACACGCATACATACGCACGCACGTACATCCGCGCACCCGCACACGCCAGATTTTACACCCGTAGACCTCGCAGTCTTTCGCAATGCGCGCGTTTCGGCTGTAGTAGCCTTATACAAACCGCGTTTATTTACAAACGTGCTTAAAAAAAAAAGAAAAGATGAAAGGGAAAGAAGAAAAAGACCGTTGAATTAAATTACTGTAACCCCCTCCCCCCCTCCCTCTCGTTGCGACACGTCGCGAAATCGCCGTGCCCGCGAGCGGCGCGGCGGCCGCGCGACTCCTCGGCAGATGCAGGTGTCGTCCGATATTGAAAACAAGAGGATGAACTTCGACGTTCTAATTTCGCGCTCGCTCTCGTACTTACCTATCTACCTTTCGTCCTCTTCGTATGCACAGTTCTTTCTCGGCCGACGCACGAGATTACCGGAGGTACCTCGCTCTTTATACGTGAAGAAAGAATTTAAGAAGAAGGTGTCTCGTGTTTTTTAGATAAAAAAAATTGGGCCAATGACGCGCCATACGATCTTGCGGATTGTACCCGGTAAAGTGCATGTGTGCCGTGCAAAACGCCCTCCAAAACGTCACGCCAAGGTGATCCTCATATGCACTTGACCCAATTTATTTTTGTAACCCAATTTATTTCTGCTGCGTCTCGAGGTAAAACAAGCCGCCACTCTGTCAAGGACTTTTTGCAAATAATTGATGATAATTGCAACAAGTATCGGTAATATTTAAAAAAAAGCGTAAGAACGAAGATAATCATTTCTTGTAATTTCTGAGCACTGAATACGATTGTTTACAAATTGCTTTATCATGTTTGTCATCATTTTGAGAAATTTGCGATAAAAATTGCACTACTTTGGCATATTACAACTACGATTTATTGGATGCGATGATTCTCCATTACGATATATGTATAATTGAAGAAGTTTTATTGCATTCAAAATTAAGTGTGTTGTCAGGACTTTCAGCCCTTAAAAGGAATTTATTGTCGATGATGATAAAAAAAATATGTATGATTAATACACATATAATTAAAACATTTGTATTATATATTTAACACATTTCTTTCGAACGGTCCACTCAAATCTTTGTGTTAATCTTTGTGTTAGAAAATAACACAAACATTATAAAAGAATTGACAAAGATTATAATATTTTGATATTTTGCTCTGATTCATTTGATTTAACCTTCAAATGATACAAGAGTGCGAATTCGCACCGCGAACATTTTCGAATTACTGACATTTGCACAGAAACATCTGTCGCGGCTTATCCCTACTACGTTAAATATGTTTAAAACATTTCTGTTTTTTCCTCAGATGTACAATTTAAGATATTAAATCCAAATTCGTACGACCATTGTTCCATTAGTGGGTGCTCGAAAGAAGTGTATCATTTGAAGGTTAATACAATTTGGAAAATTATAAAAACATATTTATATAATAATAATATAATAATATTATAATATTTATATAATAATTATATAAAATAAAATTAACACGTACGTATATTTTGTTTATTCATCTATCTTAGAATTTATGTTTTAATTAAAACTACATGTTTCTGTCTTATTTGTCCACTTACTGATTAATTGTGTTAATTTAACACTAACTAAGAATAGTGAATATCAATTTAACAAAATATTTAAATAACATATTTACATTTTAACATTGCGGATATTTTAAAAATTCAACACGAAAATTTTAACGGGTTTAATACAAATATAAACTGTTTTTTACTGTGTAGGATTTATTGTATTAAAGTTGCGACTTACATTAATATAAAATGCAATATGTAGAATGAAGCAAAATTAGTTTTATTAAATGTTTATTTAATAAAACTAACATTTTATAAATACATTTTATAAAATTGACATTTTTTATAATATACGTTTTTTAATTAAAGTATTTAATTAAAAAACCTTTTATAATTTCAATGATATATTTATAGTACAATGTTTTGTATTGAAAGAATATAAAATATTGGTACAATTTATTGGCCAATCTACAAAATTTTGCAACTTTTTAATCGAATTTTTTGCACCAATTGTAATTAGTTTATTAAAACTAATACATCTCATACTCAATCAAACTCATACATTTTTCCATAATTTTTATGTGAAAAAATGAAAAATTATTATTAGTAATAATATAGTAATAATAATAATAATAATAATAATAATAATAGTAATAATATTTTAAATTAAAAAATTGATCGCAAGGCCACTTAATTCATCGATGACTTACAGTATCAATGGTGTTCTATATCATAATTATGTATTCACGCAGGGTATATCAGAAAGTATTTCATGATTATGTTTTTTTTTTTTTGTAAAATCAAATGACTTCAACGGAAAGTACAGCGTGGATCACCGGTGACTCACGCAGCACGAAATGTGTTAAGGATTTACCAAATGTTTTAATTATATCATTCAAACTTAAGGGCCGGTATTTCAAATGAATATTGTAACTACGATCTAATGTCAAAATTTTGATAAATTCTAAATAGCTAAAACCAATATAGCGGATATAATCAAAATAAAAAATATACGTATTTTTGGAATAATTTATGTATACGGATTTCTCGTTCAATTTAAATCGAATTTATTTGTCAGATTTGTATTTAGTGATTTAAAAAATCCTTAAGTTTGAATAACATTAAAAAATATTTGGTAGATCCTTAATGCGGTCTATACAAGTCGCACCTTTGATGCAATAAACTTTATATTAACCATAATAAATACCTATATAATTGATGTAATAAATTCCTTTTTATAAGAATTGAAAGTTCTAATAACATATTTAATTTTCATTGCAATAAAAACTTCTCCAATACATCGTAGTTACAATATATTATAATATAATAAGTCATTATAAGTAGCCGTTCTTGCAACTTTAACTATCAATTTTTCAAAATTGTTGAAAGATTTGGTAAACGGGATTGTGTTAAACGTTGAGAAAATTATGAGAGACGATTAGCCTCATTCTTGTGATCGAAAGAAAAAACGTTTTTTTTTTTTTGTTGAACAGTATAATCGGTTCGCTGAAATAGGTTACATTCTTTGAGACCTATTACGCTCGCTCCAATTTGCGCACGTGAGAAAGACGGAGACTGCGAGAAACGTCGTGCTCAAATATTGTAACGGCGAGCATGCGGAATAAATAACAAGTTGAATTTCGCGAGGTAACGAGAAACAGTGCCGCGAGTTGAAGGCTTTCCTCAAGTTATGTCATCGCCGAAGTGATGATATGTCTTTTTCCTTTTCTTTCTTTCTCGTTCTTTCTCTTTTTCTCACCTCCCCGCTTTGCATTGTTTATATACTTAGATTTTGCAGCCCACAGATGGGATCGTATTAAAGATATTCAAATACACAGACACAGAGACTATCTTTCGTAACTCTGCGTCTCTCTCACTGCTTTCCCCTCTCTTGCTTGAAAAGGTACACGCGAGCCATGACGAAAGTTTCTTTACGAGCGGTCACGTCATTCGTAGTAAATGCTATTTATTTATGCCGCGACCTGTATATCGTTTTCCTCCGTCGTGTGAAAAGTGAAAATATCGTACTTATCGTATATACGTTGAGCCAGGTCGGGTATTGGGAAGGTTGCGGCCGAAATCGCGCGCGATCTCATTTGCCCCTTCGATTCTGCATAGCAGCTCTTATTTTCCGATGTTTAACCGAATTGCATTATTAAACGAGCGCCGGTTAAACATACGTTCTTTTTTTCATGGAACAATCTCGGAGTCTTTACGATTTTTTAAATACTGATGACTTGTACTTCATACAGGAAAAAAATTGCACTTTTCTTTAGTTGCGCAAATACGCAAATACGTAAAAACGTTTCCCGATGCGTCGACGCGTGAGGAATAAGAGGAACCGCAAAAGGCCCGCCGGGTATTATTCTTAAGTATGTTAAGTGATGGATATTTCGCTTTAGGATATAATATATTCAACTATAATAACTTGCGTATAAAGTACGATATTCATTCTCACAAATTATCTCGATAACAGTTTCGCGATCTTACGCGAATCTTTAATCGAATTATTTTCTTCAAATTCCTCGAATTTACGAGCGAATCCAGTATAGATCCGATCAGTGGTAACCTTTAAATTTTGCGGACATCGATTATTAATCTCGATCGATATAATGAGATTTCAGAATGGAGAATCCAGAAGCTATCAAGCGGTCGAGCTAGTCGTAACTTCTACATATGTGCATGCGATTTGCATAAAACTTGGTATTTATAGATTTCTGAGTCATTGACATTTAGAATGGGATCCAACATGCTGGATTGAGACGTCGCAAAATTTGAACGATCGGCTTTTGCATGAAGCATTGTTCTGCACAAAACGATTGGTAACATTAGATCAGTGAGTTTTAAATTTTAACAACTTTGAATTGTTAAAATTGGATATTTTGGATTAACTGACTAAAATCAGCTACTCCAAAAATTTATATAAATATAAATTTTTCAAGTTGTATATACGTATAAATATCAAGTTTAACGTACATGTAGATCGATACACAAAAATTAAGTAGCTGATGACTACAACGACGTTATTTGGATCCGCCGTTGTGAATTTTGTAATCTTATTCCTAGATTTGTAATCAGAGGTTTCAAAATAATTCTTAGTTACCGAATTTTTTGTTTGAGTTAAAAGATCATTTGTATCTTACACAATCAGAGATATCATAACAGTTAGTCTCTTAAGATTAAAAGATTAAAAGAAGAACGACGGGAAAATAAAAAAGAGGATTATCTTGAAAGAATATTTTTTGTACTTTATTCAAGCTTTTTTTAGCTAACAAAGTCGAGAAGTTGATATTAATCGTTATTAATGGTATCAATATTATATTAAACGAAAAGATAAGACA